ATCCCAAAGCGTGTGGCCATTTTACACCAGTTAAAAAATAACCAAGTAATTCCTCTTTAAGAGTATGTTAACTGTTCATATAGACAAGGATTGTATATATAACATGCTTCTAATGATCCAAGTCACTGTGTTCCATCCATTTTTAAGCCATTATGGTTTATTTTGTTTAGATATTAATACCTTGCAGCTCACCCTACTCTTCCACTTGGGCTGTTTCACTTCAACTCAGGTTCTTGGCTATAAGTTTGGGAGTTTGATAGTTCTGTTCAGCATCTTAATTGTTCTTAGAACTGTGTTTATCTGGATAGAGATCTGAGGTTCCTAGGATCTGTTGGAGCCACTCTTCTAGTTTGGGGATCACAGCACCGACTGCTCACTGGGACTTCTGAAGCTTTGACTCTCCACAACTTCTTTATTTCCTCTTTCAATCTTTGGCATTTCTCAAGCTTCTCGTGCTCCTTTCTGATGCTACAGTCATTTGGGGTTGCTGCATCTATTATCACTGCAATCTTCTCTCGCTTGCCGACCACCACAATATCCAGTTTGTTGGTTTGGATTTAAAGTCCCACAATAATTTTGCTCTTCTATTATCCACCTCCCGTGGTGGCATCTCGTACTTTGATTGTRGGACCTCCAGTATGTACTCGGCACAGATGTTTCTGTATATAATTTCAGCCACTTGGTTATTATTTGTTAGACTATTTCAAATCTTTGCACAGCCTGCATCTTGGGTCTTGTCTGGTACACTAGACCCCAGCCTTGTCTGCTCTTGTGCTGCCATGATTAGTGTCTCTCTGTGTTGTCCTTCAGTCCAAACATCTCTAGCCACTGGTAGGACATCAGCAACTTCTTCAATCTGTCAGTGGTATGTGCCATGRGTCGCCYTCTGAAGAGYGTGAYGTCRTGTGCAAAGGGTCAGTTTTCTAATCTTTATCTTTCAAATTTTACTTTCACAGCTGCAAAACTTAATCATTTTAGATRGTGCTGAAATTTTATTTCCAATCTCAACATGACCTTTGCTTTTTTCAATGCTATACATATTCTTTAACAACAGAGGAGAGTGCAGTTTATTCCATGATCTGAACTCTGACCACAACCAACAGAAACTAAAACATCATGAACTGGAGGGTSTGATCAGAAAGGAACTTTGTACGCTGCTGATACAGAGTGATGACGCCCTCCTTCCCTCTGTAAGACTGACAGCACCTGCACCAGGCATCCATTTACTTTTTATTTGGGGTTTTGAATTAGCTTCATTGTGAMTTTCTGCCCTTTTTATATCACCTTCTCTTTTCAGATATGTCATGATTACAATATCGATGATGGAAAATTTGGGCAGTGCCAGGGCAGAGTTAATTGGAAGAAGCTTCATTTTTGTGAGTTTCTGAACCAGGACTGCAGCTGTTCCAGAAACCACAATTTTAATGGTTGCCACCCATTTAAAGTCCTGTACAATGAAGGGATCTCGTCCAGCCTCATTCACTCTTTGAAGTCCATTTACACAAATAAAGAAGTTCTGAAATTTTCTGGAAACCATGTTTCTGCAAACACTGATGCAGAAGGTGATTGTCAGAAATAGAGATGGGGTACTTCGTGATAGGGATAAGTGACAGAAAATGGAATTAACTTGAGCAAAAGCATGTTTTTTTCTTGAAACCTATTTTATTTGTTGCTAAAGATCTTTTTAATGGTTGGTGTGCTTTCAGATCAGGACAAGATGCCGTACAGATGGCAGGTTCAGGAAGGTAACCAGTGGACCAACCTGCCAGATAACGAGACAATTGAGAGGGAGTACTGTGAGCCAAACAACAGTTACAGGTACTCTGTCCACCACTCCTACCCTAATGTCCTCAGAGGTTACTTCTGAACTCAGCAATTTCAGAAAAAATAGATGTTTTTCATTTTTACAACAGTATCATGATGAAASAGATTTTATCAACCTGTGCTGACAACTATAGTTGGGTGAGGCCATCTTGATTAACATCAACATGCATGCATCAATCATTTAAAATTCAAAAGATAGCAATTTCACTTCAGATTAGTTTACATTTAAAAAGGTATGTCTGCACTGCAAAGGGTAAAATTAGAATCCATTATCACCCAAACAGCTCTAAGCTGCTAAACCTGCATGACTATAACTATGGTTTCCACTGGGACAAAAAATAGCATCAGTTTTATCCTCATTTAAATTTAGAGTTTGAATGCATCACTGAAGTAAATGCTTGGATGGCTTTAAAACGATGTTGTTGTTTTTTTTGTGAGAATGATTTAACTTCAACCGAATGTAGATCTGAGTATTGTCTGCATCAAAATGAAAAGGGTTGTTAAATTTTCTAGAGATGCAAGAAGCAGGTTAATTAAAAATAATTGTTCAAGAAGAAATCTTTGGGGAACTCGACATGTGAGAGAAGCAGGAGGCGGCTTCCAGAGAAACACCTGTCAGACAGGTAAAACCTGAACCAGGTTTCTAAGCTCAGAATGTTGGGCAACTGTGTCAGACACAGCTGTCAGGTCATAAAAGCAAAAGTTTGAAAAGACTMCTGAATTTAGCTAATAAAAGATCAAACATTTTTAAAGGGGTTCTGTGCTGAGGAGGGCTTTAAACCAGATTGAAACAATTCAACAATATTGTGTGCTTTTAAAACAGACTGCAGTCAAAAAATAAACAAGAAAAAAATAAACAACTATCCTTTAAAAAATTATATAAATGAAAATTTGGAAACAGGGCCTTGAATTTGAAAAGACCATTAAATCAAGCATAG